TAATTAGAGTTACTCTATCCACTCATACTTCTTAGATTCTTTTTACTTTTTAGGCATTTTATTTCTTTTTTAAGTATATGGGTTGGGTTGGGTTGAGCGGGTTTATTCGATTTTCATGAGTTAACCTATAACTCGACCCAACCCGTCTACATAGCCAACCCATCCAACCCATGTAAAAACAACAAAAAAATCAACACAAACCGATCGGGTTGGTTCGGGTTGAGCAGTTTTGACCTACTGATGATCGGTCGCCATTCTCACTATACACAAGAGGTCTATTTTGTTTGGAGTGTAGTGGCGAGGAATCGGAAACTTAAACTTTGTGTGGAGTAGAAACTGCAGTGGACTCGGAATCGATAGGTGTGTGTTGTTTATTTTGGGGTTCCATTTTTTTCTCTGTATCACTGATTGATGTCCGTGTTTTGCACGCGAGAAGTTTTTCCTTTTCTCAACTTCCTTTAGGCCTGGATTGATAAATTTTGGACATACAATGATGGCTTAGGACACAAAATCCAGGTTTACAACTGGATAAATAAGACAATCATGTACTCGTAAAATTTTAATTAACAATTCAAACTTTGACAACGTCACATTCATTCAATTGAAAATGAGTATTAATATTCATAGTGAACGTAACCTCTAGTTATCACTATAAATATTATTATTCTTTGAAAATTTATTTTTTAAATCAATAGTCCAGAATCTAACAACATCAACGTTATGAACCAAAATTATTAACAACAATGATACAAGTATGTTAATTCTAAACAAGATAGGGATTATCTGCTCGTCAATGATAATAGCATGGCGTGCAACTTATGCGGGTTTGGGGCCGACTAGCCCTGTACACGATATGCCCAACACAGTTGAAGCCATGATAGCTCTAGCAATTTACACAAATGGGTATATATGCAGAATGAATTAAAAAAATATTGATTTTCGATAAAAATATTTTAAAGAAAAAAGGGAAAATTACCATCTATGTAATTTTTCGTGTCTTTACTGCGCATGTAATTTTTTTTTATTTTTATAATGACTACTTTGTGTTAATCCTACAATCATGTAAATAATTTTTTAAAATTGTATGCAACTTAAATCCTTATCGCTCGTGAATCCTTGCTAGAGAATATGTAGATTTTTCAAAACTAAACACTGCACGAAATCTCTCACCTCCGTCTACATGAACCTACGTGACATTGTGACCACGGCCAAAAGCCACTGGACGCTGAATTCATTTTTCCATCACAACTAATTTGCTGCAAGAAGATGACTTAATTAAAAAATTTCCCACAATACAAAAACTAAAGCTACCAAAATGCAGATACAACAAAAATTTGGGGTGGCATTAATGTCAATTTTGTGTGTGTGTGTGTGTGTGTGTTTTTAGATAATGGTCGTTCATAGTGATGGTGATGGCAATTAGATGAGGGGATGGTATTGGTAAAATAGAGTTTGTCTCAGGTGATTGTAGTGGTTGTGCTAGCGAATGTGAACACAAAATAATATGTTTTCAGGTGTTATGTATCCATAACATGTGTATCAAACTTTGTTACACTCGGAGTTATATGCAAAACCATGGGCGGATGCAGGAGTGGCCGGAAGGGTCACGTGACCCCCCAACTTTGCTCCCCCTTTTATTTCACCATTAAATTTTCTATGTTTTTGTTTCAATTTTCAAAGTCTTTATGGGATGTGAAACGAAATCGAAATATTGCATTCTTAATACTATTTCAAAATGCTCACTGTCTATTTTTCTACGTCGTTAATGGTATACGAAACGATCAATCGTAGTAAATATTACGAGTTGTCAAAATAGCCCGTTCAAAATTAGTGTTTCGAAAATTTCAATAACATGTTAACTTTAAAAATTCTCTAACGATGGTACGCTAATCGAATCTACAAATTGTTTATATTATCTCAAATCTTATTTCGAAAACTATATTATAGGTATATCGAATA